CTGGGGGGTGCTGCGCGCATCTGTCCCTTCCAGAGTATGCATTTATAGCTCTGCTAGTTGCTGTTGGAAACGTCTGTGCATATGTGTGTCTATATGCTCTGTGTGTGTACACGCGTGTGCTTGTGTGTATTTGCTCCCTCAACCCTGTTGGTAGCTGTATAAAGAGACATGGCAGAAAGATAGTACTATCAGGTGGGAACAGTCTGTATGAGAGGGTGTGATACAGATGAGACAACTTGTTTTAGAAAAAGCTTGGAAAAAAATCTGTTGGAAAGATTAGCAAATAGATTTGTCTTTCATTTTTGGATGTGTCTGCTCAAAGCTGCTGCAATGGTGCATGTAAACCCCATCTCAAAACATCTGCAGTATTCTCCCTGAACATGATGGGCACAGGGCAGGGATGAGGCTTCAGTCTGCACTCCAAATTTGTAGCCGTACACTGTTTGAACAGATGTTTTTCTTTTTATTGGAAGAGAGTTTTTTAATAATGGAGCTGAGCTTTATTCTCTAACCAGCTATTGATTGAGTTTTCTGTCACCAGACAGGCACAGAGACACACAGAAAAACTTGGTTCATGCCCTGTTAAGTGGCTCACGTCTGCCTGTGCACCTGCCTGTTTGCCTATACACAGATACACACCCAGGCACCCACCCAGCCAAGCACACAACACCCCCTGGGACACACCAGCTACACAGCTACGTGTGGCTGCAGTTATATGTGACATAAGACATAAAGGCAAATCTCTTAAAATTTAAGATTGGTTCCCCTGGTCTCAGCCATGCTGAGGTGGGAAGTTGTGGATGCTGCTGTGGCTCCATCTTCGTGCTTTACTCAGAGACTTTGCTGCAGATGTGCCTGGGGAGCGTGGTGTTTCACATACACCATATCATACAGCCAGTCATGCCTAGGCTTACGGAGAGGGACAACAAAAGGATGCAATTTATGCCTTGATTTTGGCCTTTGTCAGGTTTAGCTAGGCTCTTATTTTCATTTCCATTATATGGGGTCATGTCCAATTTACCTTATTTTCTTCTTTGCAAGTTGAAAAATAGCAGAGAGCAAAAAAAAATTACTCTTAACCGTGCGTGGGAATCAACATCACCTGAGAGCTACTGCCATGTGCAGGCTCTGAGGATATGATGAGCCAATTTAAGGCATGAGAACAAAATCTTCCTCTATCATCAGCAATGCAGATATTTTATTTACATAGTGACAGTCCCTGTGCATGTTTCACCCTCATATTATGTGCAAAACTCCTCTTTGCAACCGTGCAGAATGAATGCAGAATATATAATTGAGATCTGCAGTGCAGGTGAGTCATTTCCCAGTGCTGACCCCAGAGGAAAATCGAGCCTCACACACTGTGTCATTGATGTCGGAATGACACAATGCTGCATGTGTGTGCCTGCTCTCTCCATCCAGCTGGGATATTTGCCTCTAAGATTGGACTGCAGTTCTTGTGGTTTGCTTTCCCTTAGTGCTGATTGTGGCTGTGCCCTTTGTGGCAGTCAGGGGCTTGCAGGTGTGTTTTCTTTTTGAAACCTCTGTGCAATGTGATGTGGTCGACTGGATGTAGAATTCCAGAGATCAGCTCCACTCCCTTGCCTGTTGCTGTGTGGGCTGAGCAGAAAACTCCTAGTACCACCTTAGGATACTATCTATCTACCCATATCTATTTATCTTTTTGTCTGTTTGTTCATTTTGTGTTTGTCTGTCATCTGTAAGAGTTAAGTTGAAGAATGGTAGACTCTCCATCTTCATTTTCAGCTTTAAATAGACCCTTTATGGGGAAAAATCCCACATAGGATCCCACAGAGAGGAGATGAAGAGATAAAACAGGAATATGTTCCTAGCAAACACAAGCTGAGCATTTCTGAGCACAACTGTTATTCTTTCTATAGCTTGCACCTAAGGCATCATGTACCTAATGGTGGAACACTCCTTTTCTCCCTGCCTTTCCCTAAGGCCACTTGGTATGATTTCCATCTTCATGATTTGCCACCTGCTCTGATTCTGTAGGACTGTCTGGATTTGTGACAAAGAAGCAAACACTGAAGTCATAGCAAAGAGGAGGAATCACCTGATTTGACTTTGTTTTTAGGAGCAGACTTAAATCTTCTCGTCTAGCAGCCCCATGATCTTTGTCTCTTAGTGGTGGATTTGGGAGTGGTGGTGGTAATCCTTGATCATCTGCCAGAGTCTCTCTTGGTCAATTCTTCTTCTCCCTTACCAATTCTTTCTTTTCTGACACTAGGTTAGCAAGTTTTAGATTTTCATATATATACTAAAACATAGAATCATAGAATGGCTTGGTTTGGAAGGGACCTTGAAGATCATCTAGGTGCAATCCCCTGTCATGAGCAGGGACACCTTCCACTAGACCAGGTTGGTCAAAGTCCCATTCCTTGAGCACTTCCATGGATGGGGCATCTACAGCTTCTCTGGGTAACCTGTTCCAGTCTCTCACCACCCTCACAGTAAAGAATTCCTTTCTAAGTTCTAATTTAAACCTACCCTTGGTCAGTTTAAAGCAGTTGCTCCTTGCTTGTTGGGTAAGAGCAGGGAGGGCCTCCCTGTATCCTCTTGGTGAGAGCTTTTTGCATCTTCTTGTACACCTCAGGGCCGTGCAGACACAAGGGCTAGAGAGGAGACTGTTACTCTCAGGGTAGTGCTGTGTGCCAAGGCCTGTGGACCTCCACACTAAAGCTCCATGCAGTTGAGGTTGATGGTGCACTTGGTGGGTTTCATATAGTTTCTCTGTGTGATGATCTCCTTCAAAACCTGTAATATGGCACTGTGATGTATAGAGGGCCATGTGATTGCAGGACCCTTAGTCATGGTGGGGCAGCAGACAGATCTCATGTAACCTGAGAAGTAGCTGCCCTGTGGTTCTATTTTAAATCCCCATTTCAAGCTCATGACTTTCTCAGCAAGGACAAGTGCCCAGGCAGCTCAACGCAGTCTAGCTATTTTTATTATATTAAGAATATATGATACAATTGTTAAATCGTTGGAGGGCATCTGTGTTACTTTTTGCGTGTTCCACAAGAAAAACAAACTTGTTACTCATATCTGTTACAGTGGCAGTAGAGAGGTTCATATACACATTGAAATCCATGTACGACATCAGTTTCCATATGCGTAATGCACCATCCTGCCCAAAATACAGTGTGGGTATGATCTGGGTAGCAGTTATCATTATCTGTTTGTGTAGTACTTTGAGAGAGATGAAAGAGTTACAAAAGTTAAACATCAGAGCCCCCAAAATAAAAAAAGTCCTTTCTTGTCCCACAACCCACAGAGATGGCTTCTATTTAAAACCAGTCCTCACAAAAGAGCACAAATTTTATCCTTGGTGCTTGAAGCTCAAGTATTTACACAGGGAATTTAGACTCTTCACTTGTGGTTTTGGCAAAAGCTTCACACAAATGTTTTGCACTGGTGGTCTCTTAGCCATTTAAGATAAACGCCAAAATCAAATGCAGTCCTTGCAGACTGGAGCGCTGGATGCTGTGCCAAGGATGAAGTATCCCCGTTTGCCTCACACGTGTAGCTGTCAGATCAACATACAGACCTGGTTTCCAAAAAGGGACTCTCAAGGTGGAGAGGCTCCCCTGGAAAATGTTGCATGTTTAGGGTCAGAGGGAGCATGGATAAATATTTTTCCTTGCTGCCACAGTATCAGTTCCTTTAGAAAATGTTTTTTTCTAGGGTTGGAGGGAACACAGATAAATATTTCTCCTTGCTGGCACGGTGTTTGCATGTATCTGCAAGGCTCACACTCGTGCACAGCCAGAGGAGCCACCATGTAGAAAGAGACCATTTGCCAGAAGGTACCCCACAATTAGCACATGTATTTCCTGATATAAATACAGGGGGAAATTGTGGTTTGTGATCTACCGCTGTGTGGTAACTATTGGCAAATGCCAACTTTTTAATGGCGACTACTCCACCACATATCTTCATTTAGAGACTGCCCTTGATAAGTAGGTACCCTTTAGTTAATAACTAAGTGGTATGCATAGTTTTAAATGGAGGGGTTGGGATTCCCAGTGGATGGAAAGTGGTGCCATTCACTAAGCTTCCCTTTAAACTCTGCTAATTTGTGCCAGTCAAAAACATGACTTCTACATGATTGTGTCTGTGTGTCTGTGTGTCTGTATTTGTGCAGGTGTATGTCGATATTTAAGACTTGTGTCTTAGTTTTTCAAAGTCACAGAGTTCAGTTTGGACTAGTGCCAAGAGGAGCAAGCACTTCCAGTGAAGCAGGGGAAAACTTTTAAACACAGCTTTTAAATGGCAGGTTATTCCTAGAGGGGTTAAAAATAAATAATACGTTTGGAGGTTACAATATCATCTTTTAGCTGCGAGGAAAAAGGTTGTTCCCTTCCTCGCAGGCTCAGTAGGGAAGCAGCCTGAATAATCGGGGCATGCAAAATGCACAACTGGCCGCAGCTCAAGCGGGAAGGCAGCATGCGACCGCCAAGGCTTCCTTCTGGGAGCTCAGCTCCTGGCACCTCACTGGAGCCATTTGAGCTCTAAGTCACCGCACTTTGTCCGGGCTGGTGTGTGGAGCCCGCTTCAGCAGTGGCTCGGCAGAAAGCCTGCCCAGTTTTGTGTCAGCTCAGTGCATTAACACAGCCATAAAACAATAATCCCCCTTTTGATTTGGTCCCTGAGCAAGTGCCGGTGGCAACTGGTGGTGACGTCCGCTGCCTCTGACTCTGCTCCGTGCCAGGGCTGGCCATCCCCCATCTTCACCCCACTCCATGCGCACCACAGGCCCCCAGCCTGGGTTTGTGGGTCCCCAGGTCTCTTCTTGTTCTTTCCCTGTTCAGGGTGAGCCCGGCAGCCTCAGCCAGACACAGAGAGGGGTTCATACCAAGTGTGTCATGTGTTAGGCAGCCAGCCCCCTCCTCGCTTGTTTCCCCTGATGATGCCTCCTCTGTCCCTTCAAACTTAGATCCGACTGACAGTTTTTTCTATTGTTTTTTCTCCAGGGCCGTCCAGGCCTGCAAACCTGCCGGGGGCTCCCATAGCTGCCTCCTCCCACCCTCACACATCCGTGATCACGTCACCTCTCCGCGCATTGGCCTCCCTCCCGCCCTGCCTTAGCCTGCCCTGCTGTGGTGCACGTGCAGTCTCAGTTGGCGGGACTCAGACTGAGATTCAGACTGAGACGTCAGGCACATTTGGATGTCATTGTCAGTTGTCAGGTAATAGAAATACTTTTTTTTTTGTTGCTATCTGAAGGTCAGTAGTGCTGCCAAGTGATGTCGTCTTTGTTGTGGGAGAGCTGCCTTTGCTGGGTCGCATGGGGAAGGCAGAGAAAATGCCTTAAATCCCTTTCCTCCTTCCCTCTTCACCCTGGAAGAGGATGGGGAGTGGGAAAGGGCATGTGATTCCATCCATTTGCCCATCCCTCCCTTCCTGCCTGCCCACCCTCAGTTGTTACCCGCAGCTGCTGCTGGGCCATTTGTGCCATGTTGTGAACAAATGTCTGAGACTCCTCACAGAATGTGATACACCAGTATTAAGATTTCATCTCTCTGGGATGTTTATCTTAAGCTTAATTGGATAACATTTAACATCTGAGGTATTTTTATTTCACTCTTTTTTTTTGCCCTCCCTCCTCAATCATTCATATTTTAAAGGCTCTCCTCTGTATCCGTGTGCACACAGGGTGCATGTGCTCCATGCTGTTTTCTCCCTTGCTTTGAGAAAATGCTCCTTGGTAACTCACCATGCATTCCTGGCCTCTACCCTATCAGCTTTTCTTTTCCTTTATTCCTTTTGGATGCCTGACTTTTGTCACCACAAGGAGGGGAAAGTGATGTGAAAATGAAGGCACACCAAGCTAGCCAAAGAGAACACGGACATATTGTCGCCAGACCCCATCATTTCAGACCCAGTGATGTCTTTGAAATCAGTGGGTGTTTCTGAGTATGGCTCAGTTGCAAGACTGGGTTTATGGTGAACTGCAGGCTGGAAAGGTGAAAAGCAGTGGGGGCTTAAAAAAAATACAGATGTGGCAAAATCCGCAAATGTTTATGGAGTCTCACTGTGGTGGTCCAAACCCCACAGCTCTCATTCATGATAACATGCGTGTAGTTTTAATAGGGAGTTCCTCAAATGATTCTGGATAAGTAAAGTGTGAGGACCAGAGGATTTAGAGAGATAGCAGTGACTGTCAGCAGTAAAGCCTTTGTGAAATAGCTCCTCATTCTCCCCCCTGAAGCTGGCAAAACTTTGCTGTGCTCAGCTTATTCTTTCCAGAAGTAGTGGTACCACCTGGCTGCAGTATGCTGCATCTAATGAGAATATCCCTGTACATCTCTCGTTGATGTAGTAAAGCAAGACAAAAAGATTTGCAAGAAATTTAAATTTGTATCTTGGAAACCCTTGTTCTTGAAAGATAAAATACTCTCAGGAGGAGGGTCTCTTCAGGGTGCCGTTTTGATCCTGGGTGAAGCTCAGGGCATGCAGAGAAGGCTCCTGTGTTGCCTGGAGGATGCTCAGCTTGCACCCATATGCTTGCACTGGAGTGTAGGCATTGGTCTTGCAGCAGTGTGCTGTGTGGTGAGGTGCTGTTGGTGCATCTGCGGGTTTGGTTAGGTTTTCTGCCGTATTCAGTGTGGGGTGGGATTTTAGCAGTTTAATCAAACTGCTTTGCAGCCTCAGCAGATTGACCAACTGGCCTGAGACGGATGTTGAGACAGGTTCTTGCAAATGGTGAGCATTGGATCAGAAAGTCAGATAACTCCCCACCTCCTACCTTCTCTCCTCCCAGTAACTGGTAAACCAAACTGGAACTGATCTCCTGTTTTGCTGTTCTCTGTCTTCACTGGTGTAGTGTGCACGCATGTGCCTTTGGTACTCAGGTAGTTGTAACAGTGAACTGAATGCCCTGGTTCCCTATTGCTTCTGATGCCAGCAGCTAGTGGTAAGGGAAGCAAGTACAACTAAAACTAGAAAAGGAAGGAAGGAATAACTTATTAAAGAATGTGGGAAGGTGAGGCTTTTGTACTTTGCGTACTTTGAGTTCTCACTTTGGAGTTGTGTGCTGTGAGTTTTCAGAATTGCCTGTTTGCTGTGAGAGCGATGCCAGCTCTGTGGAGAGAGGGACCTGTTATCATGGCTTCCTGTAATTACTGCTGCAGTCTGCGGCACTTAGAGAATAGGTTATATCAAAGTGCATGCTACATGTTTATGACAGTAGTTGGTCAAGGTCTGCTTGAAAGAAACATTTTCTTCCCTCGAAAAAGGAGATTATGTCTACTTAACCATTTCTTAGCTCCCATAGAATACACTGTACGTGAGCCTGGCCATGGTTTAAACCCCATGGCAAGGGTTATGGGATCTTTCTGTCCCCCAAAATATTTTGTGGAAGTGAAAGAAAAGTGAGTTCTTTGTGTGGACTAATAATCTAGTGACAATCCCTGTATTGTGTCCTCTTTTTTTAATAGACATTTACAATAGTCTCCTGCTCCAGCTTTAGAGATCAGCTTGTCTCTCTGACTTGATTAGCCTTTTATTCTGTCAGCCCTGTTCTTCCTTCTGAGGAATTGTTTCCTTCTTTGAACAAAAGCCATCAACAGTTCCCGCCTCTCCTCATCCTTCATTGTTTCTTACCTTTCCTGTTTTTCAGCATTCATTTAGGACCTGGAGTTTTTCTGTGCAGTTCTCAAAACAGGCTGCGACTCTGAAGGCTTGAAGTTGCAGGTGCTCCCAAATCTCTGCTGGGCACTCAAAATCAGGCCCTCAAGAGTCCCTCAAAGTAGTTTGTGCTGGAGAATCTAAACTTCTGGAGGCCGGCAGGATTTGTGGTATGCATGTGTGAAAAACTGCATTTGGAAATCTCCGACCTAGATAAGAGCTATCGCCCGGGATGCTGAGTAGCATTCAGTCATGCACAGGGGAAGTCGTGCTGCCTCATCCAGAGCTGTTAGTGATCTTTAGAAAACGTGCTGCTGACAGTGGTTTCAGTGACAGTAAATGGTGCTGGGACATCTGCTTGGATGTCCACTGTGCTTCTCGGCTGGTGCTGGTTGTGGTCTCCTCAGTATTTGTTCAATTCTTTGTATTCAGAGCACAACAGGATGAGGAATTTGCAATTAAAGGTCTATGTTTTCCCATGTGATTAAAAAAAAAAAAAATCTACCACTGGTTCAAGGTCTCTCTCAATCTATTTATTTATTTATTTTTTTCCTCAAACACTTTTGTCTGTTGAATTGGGTTCTCCCATTTAAATGTTTTTAGTGCCTATTTAATTAGAAGTTGGAATAGAGTAATGAAATTCATGGGGTTGTGTAGCTTGGATCTAAAATATAAATGGGCAAAGCGTTCATTTTGCTTTACCCCTTGCCAGATTAGGGTGCTTTTTTGAGCCTGCTTTTTATTTCATTTCAATGAATTGCAACTGCTCAGAGTAACTGTAAAACACACAGAGGTTTTTTTTGCATAACAGAGACATGCAAATGATTGTTGAGAGACGTAATTATGTAAAGAAAAGTATATGCCTGTATGCATGCACACATACACTGCAATGCTTTTTGTGGTGCTATTTTTTCACAATACATCTTCATAAGACTCTTTTTATGATGCTGATTTATTAATATTGTACATTAAGGCTTAAATTGTCAAAGCTGCCTAAGAGATTTGGATGCCCATTTGCCATTAAAGTTAACGAGAAATGAGCATTGAAAATCTCAGTGCAGAAGTGCATGGCACTTTACAGTGTGCTCTCCAAAGAAAAAAGTCCCTGCCCTGAAGATACTATGGTGCAAAAGCCCCAGAAACGGGATCGTAATCGGCATGAGACAAAAGGGATTGTAATCACACAGAGAATAATGTGACCCCTGTGCCTGCATTCAGATATATACCTGATCCAAAAATCTTTGGACCCGGGCCTATGAGTGAGGGTTTTATATACCCCCGTAAAGATAATTAAATCTGTCTAATACACATATATTCATCTAGCCAGTGAAGCTGCTTCCTTCCCACATGTAGGCTGGTGGAAGGAGGTGGAAAGCAATTAGATACTTAGTTGCATATGTAAAAACAGCAAGTGGGCACGGACAGCAATGATTAATGGACAGGGCTGTGAAGTTTAAGGTCTAAAACAGAGGAAGGCATGGGGCCATAGCTCAGAAGAGAGGAACAAGCTCCTGCTAATTCAAGGAATCAGCTGTATTAGTCATTAGAACATTCTGAAAATCACAGTCATCTTGTAAAGTTAATATCAATTTACTTGGCTACTGAAATTCTACTTACTGCTTCATTTAACTAGTCTGGTGTTTTCTTGGCAAAGGTTAAGGTGACAGTAAAGATAAAAGCAGTCCCTGTAAGTAAATAATAGGTTTTTAAAATACTTTTCCCTTCTTCTATTATATCACCATATTAATTTTATGTTGGTTTTATAACTGGAGTCAGCCAATAAGAGGAGCTAGATTAGACCACCCTGCTGTAAAAAGCTTGATGCAATTAATACAGTCTGTCTAGAAAGCAGTATTATTTCAAAAACTTTTATGTTAATGATATGGTATGCACTCGGCACATTTCTTACTTGAATAAGAAGCAAGCTTTTGTTCACTCCAGACTGGGTTTTATTAACACAGGAGGATCAATGGAAAACAAAACAGTAATCAGAGCAGAGAATGCAAACTCATCCAGAAAAAACCTCCTAACTCATCATGTCCCAGGACAATGGCTGATACTCTACTCTTCATTTTTTCTTCAGTGGAGTCTCAAAAAAAAAAAAAAAAAAAAAAAAAAAAAAAAAAAAAAAAAAAAAAAAAAAAAAAAAAAAAAAGAGAAAAAGAGTGCACTAAAACTTGATTTCTGTTTAGTACTTTTTCAGAGGAGAAAGGGAATTGGGTGTAAGTGTCTGAGGGTAGACAAGGACCTATAGTTTCCCTGAGACCCTTTGTAAATGTATATTTTCATTTTGCTGCATAAAGAAGAGATTTGCATAAAGTGCTGTCTAGGGAAAGATGCCCCTATTAGTCATAGTTACATGTATTTATTTACTTTAGTGAAATATTTAATGCATGCTTTGGTAGAACTGACTTTGTGGATGGTACTTACAGAGTGCAGGGGTGTGTGAGAGATATATATACTAAAACCAGTAATGTATCATCCGAATGTATTCGTCCATCTTTACACCTATCTATCAATGTATGTGTTCATTCATCTATCCAAGTTTTAAAATAATATG